CGTAGTAAAGTACCCCCCCCCCCCCTTTTTTTTAGATGTGCTGTAGAACGGCCAGGCCAAGCAACTACTTGGCCGTTCTCGTTTAAACGGTTAAACCGGTCGGACCACAGTTGTTCGTTTATTAAATAAAGTCTGACCTAGTTATCTGATGCTGCTTTCAGGCGAGCCTTGACAAAGCCTTGCAAGGCCTGCATACACATTTTCAGGTCCGCCAGGATTTATACCCAAAACTGTTACATTTATAAACGAACAAACCGGTTGTTCCGCATAAACGAACAGGCCCCATGTTTTACCCGTTGGTCAGTCAGTAAGAGCGACAGTCGCTGAATTGCAAGGTCCGAGGTTCGAATCTGGTCAGGTCTCGACACACAGAGCACTGTTGTCAATTTTGCTTCATTTGTTCATACAATGTATCTTCTTTATTTTTTTTCATAAAATTTCCGGAATGTGTGGTTTTCTTTTCAACAATTATTGTCAAAGCTATATCATCATACAGGAAAAAAAACTATTTCATATGCATAGTTACAGCTTTTAGCAATAGTACCAACGACACCTGATACGGATGAATTATGCATCACGTGACATGTCTGAATCAATCGGATTACAACATTCGATGTTAAAGCGCGATAAGAAATATAAGAATTAGTTATATGCTACCTTTTTAATATCAAAAGTTGCCACTTTCGTAAAACAAACATGTATAAAGATAATAGAATGCGCTGTAAAGACGGCGTGAAGCACACAGGCACATTCACACGTGTTAATAGTGGGTTTGGAAAGCGCCTTACACATTTTAAACCTATTTCTATTAATCCATTTACACTAAGAAAATAATACACATTTAGAACATTGACTTACATAATCTTTTAATTCTACAGTGGGAACATGGTGTTCATTCAACTCAGGTTTCAGCATGACACTTGTTTTCTCAAACTCTTACAATAGCGTCACATAGTCACTTTACCACAACGTCATAGATTCTCCTCAATACGTCATATATTTACCCTCAAAACATCGTCATAGATTCCCCTCAATACGTCATATATTTACACTCAAACATCGTCATAGATTCCCCTCAATACGTCATATATTTACCCTCAAAACAACGTCATAGATTCTCCCATAGCAACATCACATATTTTCATCACAATGTCACTGAGATTTGATTAAACGTTGAACTGTTTACTTTAGGCATTCACAGGCAATATGAATCCAAACTGCACAACTATTTAAATTAATGATGAACATTAACGCTTCATGCTGAATTTGCCTTTTTTCCCCAGTTTGCATTCATACTGCATATGAATGACATCTGAAAACAATTCATGCTAATTTTCATCATCATCGAAATAGTTAAATGCTATTTATCAAAATTCAGCATTTAGTTGAAATAATGTTTCTGTACATTTGCTTCATGAACGTTCGTCCATCAGTGAGTGTCGGTGGTATCCAACCTCACAAATAGTTATGATAACTTTTGATTACGTCAACAATTGGACCCTCGCATTCATAGCTGATATGAATGCGATCTGATTTTGGTGGAGTTACACATTGACAAAACCTATGTCTTCGTATGATCTTTTCTGAAACTACGAAACCCTCGTAGGTTTATAATAAATTCATATATTATATTCTCGTTATAATGAGAAAATAACTCGTTATAAAAACGACTTATTTAATGACAAATTTCGAAACTCATAATAATAATTTCGAAACTCGTAATAACAAATTTTATGAGAAATACCGATTTTTCAAACTGACCAACATTGTATTTTGACCCCAGGTGGCTTTCAGAATCTTATGAAACAACACATGTGGTATCGACAAGGGGGAAATCTGGCCGACATAGAAAAGAAGAAGAGGAAGAAGAAGATGATGAATAAGAAGAAATAAGAAGAAGAAGAAGAAGAAGAAGAAGAAGAAGAAGAAGAAAAGACAAGAAAGAAAGAAGAAGAAAGAAGATGATAGAAGAAGAAATAAGTACCCCCCGCCGCAGTTTTGTCCGCAGTGCCAAACACACCTACTTATGAAATTGGAGCATCTGCTTGTCACCTAGGTCTTTGTTTTACCTCGACCAATCATAAATCTTTGTACCAACCTTTCGTCATCCTCAGGGAAAACGCCCTGTACCCGGAACTTCTCGGTGTTTTACTTCTCGTGGACGACGGACAGCGAGGAGGAAGTGTGTAGAATATCATATTTACTCCGTTGGCGAGGAATTTCTCGCCTCTGAACTGGCTCACCACAGACTCGGCCATACTGGGATATTATCACACAAACACAACTTTATAAAACGATCTCTAAATACGTGTCATTGGAACAACAATCGATGCTTCTATTGTTTAACTTGAAAACTTAATAACATCCATGAAATAAAATCATACCCCATTTTAAACAAAGTCATTCCAATTAAGACACAAGGGTGAATTCACAGATTTTTTTTCGAGTTGGCATCGGTATTTTCATTCAGGAAACGAGAGTAGCCAGCGCGTAGTTAAGGTAAATCCAATACAACAGTATATCGCCAAACCTGACAATAGTGTTTTGTTTATATCATCAAAATACTTTATCGCCTGCATATTCTCTCTTCATTTTGTATTTCGCTGTTTAAATCAAATTAATACTCGGCCCATTCACAGAACACAAACCGTTATATTTAGTTTGTCACACTATCGGTATATATATATATACAGTAAACGGGTATACTACGAGCGTGAAATACCGGTATCGCTAATCTTTCTCGATAATACCTAATTATAAATCTGGATTATTGTGCTAACCCGATTATAAATCTGTATATGTTGGTGGAGACAATCACAAGCGATATGTGCACTCAATCGTCAACGATTAACTCTGCGGCAGGACTGCTGCCAGATTTGTGGATTAAGAGGATTTGTTTGTGGAAAAGATTTAGAAAGTTGACAATCATCTGTTGGAATGGTTGTTTGGACCTGCTGATTGCTTACATAAAGGATCCTCATATACAAGGGAATTAACTTTAACTACTACATACGGGAACGTGGCGTTACTGGTTTAAATAACACGTGTAGCTGTAAACCGAAACCTCGCAAGCCCGGACTTTTTTTAACACACTGTGTCACAAAATTTGAGATCGATGCAAGGGAGGCAACTCCAATAAACTATCACAGGTTTGGTTTAGTATTGTTCAACATCCTATCAAAAGCTCTGGTCATTTGAGGTTTTATCACAGATCAATACTATGGGCAAACAATGTCAGTACTTAAATGATAGTAATTTTAATAACATCTTTTTCGAGATTTATTTTTTCTCATAGCCATGCATTAAATCATATTTTTTGTTTATGAATATTAGCCTTGGACTTAATGCATTGATATACCAGCTATCATGATCTACAAGCCATTCGTGTTTACCTCAGTCATACGCTGGTTTTACTTGGGATAGGTGTCTGTGCAATCCCCCTTCCTTTTATCAATTCCTCCATAGTTTTGGATAATTCTTTACCCTTCTTTCGAAAACCTTATTTACGTTATCCTTCACAACTGAGGTTTGACTTAACTTTGATATTTTAAGGCATCTGGTTCATACCATAACGCTCTGATCTTTGATGATATTTTCAGATAAAGCACAACGAAGAGCCTTGTTGCTAAATCCTGTTTATTCTGGTGTCTTTTTTATGGTTGGCCCACACATACCTGTAAGTACCCCGAGAGCGCCCGGTCACAGGGGCCTGATAATTGATCACTTTTAGTATGTGTGGACCCATCCTGATAATAGGTACCTCTAATAAGCTCGGTCACAGGGGCCTGATAATTGATCACTTTTAGTACCTGATAATAAGTACCTCTAATTAGTCCGGTCACAGAGATGTCATGTCGCTTCATTTTCATTGTGATATATAAATGATTGCACTATATCTTTCAGATGTTGCGGGGGCATGCCATGAAGTAATATTAATTTATGTTTTTGTCGTCTATCTGAGAGAGATTCCCAGATAAGTTCTTTATATAATTTATGGTGAGAGGTACCTCTGCGCAATCCTGTTATGACTCTAGCAGCTTCTAAATGAACAGACTCAAGCAGTTGTTTAGATTGTTCCGTGCAATTGTCCCACAAGACGTCTGCATAATCCAATAAAGGCAAAATATTTGTTTTATATATCTTTAAAAGAGTTTTCCTTGGGACTCGTTTTTTAAAGTGATTTTAATATATTTACCCTTTAAACGCTTTTTCATATATATACTTTACATGGTGAATCCATTTACCATCTTCAGACAAAATAACACCTAGATGTTTGTGAGTAGCAAGGGATTGAACTAGGCTATTGTTAAAAAATATATCTGGATGTAGCGTGTCTCTATTCCTAGTAAATAATATTGATACAGTTTTTGAAGGGTTGAAATTAATATCCCACTTAAGACCTCGGGAAGTCTATAACTAAACCTCACCTAATTTGTCACCCTGCAAAATCATTTTTTGTTGATTTACAGAAGCAAATCTTATTGTTGAAAACTGTATAGTTTTTTTCTTCTTTTTGAAAAATAAGAAATATCGATTATGACAGGAAAGGAATTTAACATAACAAAACCCATCTGATGTACAAAATACATAATGAATAGCCTTATACTTATAAATAGTTCAAACAAACAAATACACAGCAGTAATACAATGAAAGCTTTTATTTAGTGTTATATCTATATATGTCTATTTAAAGGTTATAACAATGTAAATATAAAACAAAATGTATCAGTCATTCTTGTTACATTTCAATACTACAAGTTATTAAACAACTCTACCAAACCTGTATTACCTTACATTTACCGGTTGATTACATTATGTAAACATTATGTGTAATACACTTTAGTAATAGTTGTTAGATAGTCACGATAGTTAAATATTCATATATGAATAGAAAAAACAAGAAAACAAAAAATATACGTTTCCTGTTACATGTCTAAAAAATAAGGATAGATAATCATTTTTTTTTTTTTTTTTAATTTATAAAAAAACAATTTAGCATAGACATTTCTCTTTAACAGTGCTTCCTTTATGATTGCAAAAGAAAAAAGTAAAAAAGTTTAGAATAGGGGGTAGGTAAACGGAAATAAACATTTGTTTCTTTGGCCCAGGAAAAGTATTCAAATCTAAAGCCAATCAATATAATGTATTTGGATGTTTATGTCATGTAGAAACGAATTTTCCGAGTAACAAACTATAAAGATACATTTTGTACGAAGCACTCATTAATATTGATATTGTGTTTGTCTCCCTCTCTGTCCGTCACTATATTTCTGACTCTGTCTGTCTGAATTTTCCTCTATTTCTCTTTCTGTCAATAAAATGAATTAATTTCAAATGAAAGAAAAAAATTTAAAAACACAAAAAATATGCCTCAATCTAACTCACTTATACGTTTATTGATCATTCCAATGACCATACAGTGTCGGTTGGTATAAACAATCTAGTTACTTATGTTTGTCAGATTACCACGGTCATGTAACACTAATACATTCACTGTTCAAATGTTTGTACAATCTGAATCGATACTTGAGGACATTTTATACAGGCATTTATCAGCAAGCTGTAGTGTAATGATATTTACATAATGTGTGGTTGTTCCACGAGGTCGTGTGTATCCTATGTATTATTTCCTCATGTTACAGTCTCATCACGTGTACGGAACCGTCGTTACACCCGATCCACACGTTCCCACACGTGTCCACACCCACCGCTGTAGGTTTTACCACTCCATGCCTCTGGTCCAGGAGACACACAGCTTGTTTGCCGTCTCTCGGTAGGACGTACACCTGATTGTTACTGATGTCTGGTACAAAAACTCCATCGTACTTATCACATGACATCTTCCAGAGGTTCATACTACCGACCTTTTTCCCGTTGTTGAGGTCACCAGTCCATGTCTGTATGACGGTACCTGACTCGTCTGTTATCTTTATGTTCCTCTCTGTCAAACTCTCTCCAATTTCTTGAACTACACACAGACGTAGCGATGACAAGCAGACAATGTACCTTATAGTTTCTGATCCAATACTGACCTTCCTCACAAGCGTACCTGACTGATTCAGTACCACTATGTCTGGTGTAGCTGTACTAACAAACACCTCGTCCTTCTCGTTGATGCTGATGTCCCATGCGTCATGTGGTCTGATGTCAGCAAAGGTTGTCACTTGTTTGTTGTGTAGTGATAGTTTATATACAAATGTACTGATTGGGTCACTGGTCATAAGTATGTCTGTTGTCCCGACCATGGTGATCATGAACGGACAGAAGTCCAGTTTTACTGTCTCTGTGGCCACACCCTCCTTGTTAACCAGTACTAGACTCTTGAATTGATGTATTGATAACCACGCATGACTGTCGTCGACTGGACATATACCGTTTATTTGATTTTGTTGTGTAACAGTAAATTTAGAGAGACGTTGAACGTGTTTACTGTCGATGTCTGTCTTGTGGTGTAATTCACCCAGCATTTCCGTCAACAGGGCGCGGTCGATACTTCCGGTATCAAAGCTTGGTTGTTTTGGTGAAACATATATCACATTAACGTCATACAGGGGCAGAGTTGTCCTCAATGACCTTTCTGTTTCAAACAAGGATATGCTTGATGTATTCGTCATTACCGCTTGTTGAAGCAGACGCGTCAGTTCTTCGACTTTTTTCTCTGATCGTTGACAATCTTTCTTGTGCATGGTTGATTCTTCTTTTTCTAAGGACGATAATTCAGCGAGTATTGCATCAGCGATATAATCTACTTCTGCCTTTAACTTCGTCCTTTGAGAGTTCACCTCTTTCCTCATTGTATCAATGTTGTCGTTGAACCCTTCGTTAACACGATGTCGCTCTGACGTCTCGTTCTTGAAATGTTCTATTTTAACAGAAATTGCTGTCATATGTTCTTTGAGATGTTGCTGTTTAATGGAAAATTCTTCTTCAAAATGTTTCCAGTTGTGGTGTTTATGAGTTTTAGATAAACACATTGAACAAATCAACAGGTTGCAGTCTGAACAGTAGAGATCACACAATTTACCGGGATGTAGTTTACATACCTCTGGTACAGGCTTGTCGCAGTGACGGTTAGCCTTCCCTATCGATACGACGTCGTCGTTTTTAGTTTTCTTTCCGCGTGTATGGGTTTCCTTACACCGGTCACATAAATTCTCCTGACAGTCGTTACAATACCATCGTACCCCGTCTTCACTGTCACACAAAGCACACGTGTAGGTAACGGGTTCCTGGGCACGCCGTACGGACCTGTTACTTGCCATGGTGATGGTACTTTAGTGAGTTTGAAGGAATAATTTGCCTACAGACTGTTAACTGCTACCATTTTGTTTCTGTGTCGGTACAACTTGAACTATACACTTCCTTGTTACGAGTATATCACGTGATTTTACCGACAGACAGTATAATGTCCTGGACTCATGGCGTTCGGCCAAAATTAGACTGAGCTATTGTGATGAATGTACATATCGTAATCCTACCTTCACTGATTTAGCATATTATTCAGGTTAGATACGTTGATCTGTTGGCGTTAATCATTTGTGTTATGTCTCCGTAATTCGAACGCTTAGAAGACAGATAGTTTTCGAGGTACAATCAAAACGTACAGGTGATTATACCTCACTCACCACTAGGTGTCGCTAGGATAGCAAGAGGGTATAAATAGGCAGAATCCAGCGACAATCG